AAAATAAGCATGTCATACATTCATCTATTTGCATTGAAAAAGCTAAGCTGATTTTAGACAACCAATGTGATTAAATCATAGGCAAATTTGTGTCGACCACCCCCTTTTGAGAAGGGGCTTTTTTAGCTTGCTTTGTTTCTCCAGAATACAGATTATCTATTTGAAATACGTCAACTGAATGGACTTCCCATTGAGGTTAGTGTATTCTAGCATTGTAATAAAGGTTATGAAAAGATGTCCGAGCACCAGCTGGCCTTCCTTTGATCCTCTCCATTCTTGTGATGATACATTTTCACACTTAAGATGATTCCCTTCTACCTCAAAGGCTGAGAGCTGCTTTGGTCCTTACAAATATTAACTGCAATCACAATGACCTATCTTTCTGGTTCCAGTCATCTGTTTAATATAGAGTGGAAGGTCAGAACTACATTAAAAGGGCCTGAAAGGCTTTATTTCAGTATACTGTCCCCTGCAGAGCTTCACAAAAAGCTGGCAGACTTGTAGTTCATGCATGCACGCTCCTCAGCACCGCATTGTGCAGCTGTATTAATGGGCTTTTGTAACCTTCCAGGAAAAATTCCCTCACCAAGAGAACAAAACTGTTGTCAGACCTGAACACACATGTGAATATCAACTACCAACAAAAATAAATACACATTGAAACAGTAGGGCTACTGTCTTTAGAAAAAACAATGTCCAAGCCACTAGCTTGTGTCCTCACTAGGCTGTGTTTTAAAGGTGATTTTTATCTATTTGCTAGGATGGAGATTTAATAACAGAGGTGGAAACCAACTGTTCAGAGAAGGCAAATTCAATAATAGATGTCAGTAAGGATTAATGAATAAGGCTGTGGACCAGAAAGCACAAGGCTGTGTGTACCAATACAAAGAAATCTATTTGCAGCACAGTGGAGCCCAGGTCACTTTGAAGTCATTAGCATACTGAATGCTAATGCCAGTGTAGCTGCATTTAAAGCTGTTCAGTTTTCATTGGAACACATTTTCCAAGCTATCACATTTTCCTCCTTCAAATCTGCCTGTAAAGCTCATGGTTATTTGCTTTCTATTAAGTCTTCTGTACAAGCAGCGCCATTCTTGTTTCTTGTCATGTTTATGTATTATTTCTCAAACAGGTGCTTTAGTAAGAAAGCTAAATATCCAAAACTATAGCACACAACCCAAAACACAGAGCCTGGAGACTTTTAAAGCACTTTACGACTATGTGGGACTCCATTTACCTCTACAGTTTTCCTCACTGAGCTTGAATATGTTAACCTCTGGTCTGGATTATGAGGGGTGGGTAACTGGCATGAAGTGAGCAGCAAGAATTGAATGCAGCTGTCCACGTATGAATGGAGCTACCCACAGTGGGGAAGACAATGAAAGGAAAGAAAAAAGTGGATTCCAGAAGCAAATGGCCTATGGGGCCAGTTCCACTTGCTTCACACTGATTTTGTCTTAAATTTGGCTTCCTCTCGTATATGCCACTTGGATGTTTTGGGAAGACTTCATGTGTAGCAATTACTTACATGAGTTTAAGCCTATTTGGGCTTGCTTAAGCAGCCACAGAAACATAGAACAAGTGCTCTGCTCAGAAGCCCAATCTCTGAATTCAAGAAACTGCGGAACAACTAGTAGGCCAGGTATAAAAAGAGAATTGAAGAATGCAGATAAAGCCTCAGACCACAGAAACATTGTACGCGCTCAATGGCAACAGGTAGTAAAGTGGCGAGTCCTTCCTAATGAAGTTATCCTTCCTTATACAGCTTTTTATTTTCAGTTCCAACTAAACTAAATTGTAAGTCTTAAGCAGAGGATTTTGTTGTTTGGGTTTGCTTGTTTGGGTAGGGTTTTTTTTGGTTGTTTTTTTCTTTTTGAGTTGGAGTTATTTGAACTAAATTCTATGATGTGTCATTTTCTTATGTACACACAGAAAACACACCCACATAAAAATGGCAGGTTACATTCTGAACAGGATTAATGAACTTAAATCATCAAAACCCTTCAGTAACGCCTTCAAAAGTTTAGCCACTACTTTTGTTTAATTGTTTTATGTTGTGCAGGAGTCAAGTGACAGAGGTATCTCTGCACCGAACCCTAACTAAGCCCTGAGCAGTCACCTGCATCTTCTGGAAACAAAAGTGATTCAAGTTTGCAAGATGAACCAATAGCAGCTCTGAACTGCAGGAGTTAGTCTAGTAAGTAACAGCTGTTAATCGATTTGACTATCCCACGCTGGTTAACATCCTCTTACACCCATTATAATGGCACTTCAGCAGTGCCTGCTCCTAGCCACTGACTGATGCTTATTCATAGCCCTCACTCAGCATGCTGACTATGGGTATTTACAAGCAATAGCTTGGCTTGGAAATACTATTGGTTCAAGAGTTCTGTCATGGTTTCCACCTGTTCTTCAAAGTCACAGGGTAGCTGCTGTTTTCCAACTGTGCCAGCATTAGGACTATCGGACCATATTTGCTATTCCCAAACATCTTCTTCATTATGGACCTATGGAAATTATCAGGATGCAGAAAAAGATCCCTTCAGGGAAATTTTCTACAGAGTTCTCTAAGAAGAGCTCAGACAATACTAAATTGACATATTATATTTGATTTGGAAATTCAAAGGCAGAAGAGTATTTTCTTGCAGCCAGGCAGTGATATTCTCATTGCAAAGTGGCTGCAGGGATGGGGCTTCTTAATCCAAAACATCTTACTCCATACATAAAAATTCATTCTCTCCCATCTGACTCCATCTATCTACCCACCTTTTGAATTCTCTCTCTTGTTCAGCTTTTCCTTCAAGCCAGCCTGAAATAAGAGTTTCTTAGTGCTCCTGCCCAGTGCTGCAACTCCTGCTTTTTCTGGTTCCAGCTGCACAAACTCAGATGGGACTGCTTTCTCCTACGGGTGTTTTCTCTGCTTCCTTCTCAAAGATGGCACCTTGCAACACGGTGTTGTATCAAACCCTCCAAAACTGCAAACAATAGTCACAATCTGGCAGCACAATTGAGAACCTTCATGGTTTTGGTGTGAAACCATCTCACAGAAAAAAATACTGCCAAGCAAGAGAAGTTATCCTTAGTGCAACATGGCTGTCCCCTTGGCACAAAGCACTTGATACTGAGCAATCTAATCTAATAGCATCTCAAGATGCTATTTTCACCTTAAGACAGTCTTCAGCAATAACACATTCCTCCAAAGGAAAGTGTACAGACCTCCAGTATTCTTGTTAACAGACAAGCACAAAGCTTGCAACATGGTCTGTTTTAAACCTATCCTGGAGTGCCTCCACCAAAACACAACAGAGAAAGCAAAACCATTGCAGAACCAGAGGCAACTCCAAAGTTAGGAGTTTCACAAACTGCAGATTTGTCCTCTCCAAGCAACAGAATCCTTGTGGGAACAGCATCAAATTTCTCTTTTCTATTGGGATAAGTAAATGTAAAACTAGTTTCTGACAAGAGGAAAGCTGCAGAGCTAGTGAATGGCAGATACTCACGTTCTGCCTTAGGCACTAGTACAAGGAAAGCGGAGCAGAGGAGAGCATGAGCACACACGGTCAGGGTCGGAACTGTAATACATGGCTTGCTGAATATCATGTGGATGATTTCCACGAAGGTCTGCAGTATTCACCAAATGAATGAGGGAAGACCTAGGGATTCAAATATACAAAGTGTTCCCTGCTTAAGCCTAAACAGGGCTGTGTTCTGCTGTCTTACATGCTGTTTGTAAAATTAAGCACTGCAAAAGCTTCTTTGACTTCACTGGCTGGAAAAATACAGATGTTTGAGTTTCCCAATATATGTGCACTACAAGAAAAGAAAAATGGAAAAAAAAAATCCCCATTTGCTCTCCAGTGCATCTGGGGTTTTCTTTTAACTGGTCTGTTAATGTAATGAAAAAGTTTCTCATAACATTAAATGATGACTGAGAAATCTGTATCTTTCAAGACTTAGGTACGCAGTGTAATGTTCTGCCCCTTTTGTTTTAAGGGGTGCTATGGTCTGGCCAACCATACTGTTTTTCTCATTTCAACTCAGGGTGAAAGCAATTAGAAACAGGGAGGTAAGGGGTCAAATAAAGGAAGGGAGGGAAGCCACAATTGCAATGCATGGTGTTAACACAGTAAGAAACTGAACAGCTAGTCTTGAATTCCAGGCAGGGGGAAAGAAGTGATGAGCACTCTACAAATATGAAAACACTGTGTTTTCCAGGCTCTGAATTTCCACAGAATGCAAGCAGTGGACTGTAAGTCACCCATGGTCTGTTCTACCAACAGCCAGACAACCATAATAGATTTGAATGTTTGCGCTGTAGATAGAAGTGCCAATATATTTTCTAATACCAGGACAATGTGACATCACATGTTAATTAACAGACAGTTACAGCTATTAGATTTACAGAAACCTGATTTTTCAGCAGAGGAACTGCAGTGTTATTAACCAGTGGTGATACCAGATCTTGTTAGCTGATGTAAAACACTGAAATCTACTTCTCAGCCTACATTCTCCTTACTGGAAGTAAGCAGTATGTACTTCAGACTTTCCAGTCTGTGAATGAAGTTCAGAAAAAAAGGTTAGTACAAGGATATTTTCGTGTCAGAAACTACAGTATGTAAGGAATGATTTAGCATAAGGCTTGACAACACATTAAAACTTGTTGATGGATGGAAAAAAGTTATGGCAGTAAAACCCAAGTGACTGTGGCAAGCAGTTTGAAAAGCAGCAACAGATCTATACTAAAATGAAATGCAACCTTTCAAAGCACTGAAGCAGAAAAAGGCCTGTAGGCCTTTCTTATCATGTAGCAGTCTATTCATTCCATTAATTAGCCATTGCTTTACACCAATTCATTGAAATGAAATATACTGGTGTATTGACTGAACTTATAGTGCAACTCTTCTTGCAGTGGTATCCCCATTAGCACTGTAAAGATACCTGGAATGGATGGAATTATGTTACTGAAAATCTTCCATAAAAAGATGAAACACAGCGAGCAGTTAATATACAATGTAAAACAACTTCCCTTTATTCGCATTTCCTGATCTTGGTCAGATGATCCTTGTACAAATAATCTGCTGTGCAAAATAGTTTATAAAATACTAAAAAAAAGCTTTTATTGTAAAAAAATAAAGTTTTCTAGATATACAGTTACTTTGCACTATCACAAATATTGCCAGGGATTTAACATTTACATTTAATATCACAATACTCAAGTCATGTAAACCAATGATCCTACCGGTCAGAAAGCTACTACCGAAACTCAGGTTCACTAGGGATGTGTTAAGTACTTTCTTCTTTTCATATATACACCCTTACACAACTCTGATGACCATGCTTGCAATTGCACCCGTATCGTGAAATCAGGCATTGGGCTATCCTTTCCTCCATTATCAGGTGAAAAATACCAAGTCAAATGGTAAATTTAATCAAAGAGCTAATTTTAGTAAATCATGGCAACACATGTGCTACACAGTGCAGTGACAGAACAAAGGTTCCCCAAGCTGCGCTGAGAAGCAGCATAAAGGCAGCCAACGCAGGGTTTTGGGCATGTGTATGATTTCTACCAGTATCCAAGCCAGCTGGCTTAAAAACTAGCTCTGGCCTCTCACTGCTGCAGTGCAATTGCAATCATTTTAGCATGAAATGCCTCTAAGAAATTTTGATGCAGTCACCTGAGCCCTCATTGTTCCAGTTCACTTTCATTCTGCAAAGTCTTCATAGCTAAACCCCAGAGGGTCATGCTAGAAAAGAATGGTCCTTCATTATTCTTGTACACAGCAGACAGTGTTCGACTGCCTAGTGGGTCACTACAATGACTGTCCAAGCTAACCATAGAGGAACGAATCATGGGAATATTATCAGACTGTAAGGGTTCTTCTGCAGAAGATATATCTACACCTGTGTAACTATATGGTGGTGGCGGAGTTTGCTGGGGCTGAGCCTTTGGGAGTTTAGCAGAATCCACATTCAGTTTCTGCTGGTTTGCGGAGTCATGGTGTTGAATCATTGATCGCAGCTTACAGTAAGAATCCACAGAACTATCAAATTCAGCTGGACGAATGGGGAATTTAACAGACACTGGTAACAAGGTAACAGACATTTCTTGGCCAAAAGAGTCAGAACTCTGAGACTTGTCAAGGTCAGATGTTTCAATTCCTTGAGTAAATTCATCTAGTGCGTTTGAACCCTCATCAGTGGCTTTACAATGCATTTGCTTGTGCCGCCGCAGAACAGCAGAACGGGTGAAGCACTTGTTACAGGTTTCACAGGTATAGGGTTTTTCTCCTGTGTGAGTCCTCACGTGCCTACGCAGGTCACCTGAGCCTGCAAAACATTTCCCTACAAGACAAAAGTGACAGATTAAGATTTTGTTCCTGGCACCAGTGCATAAGCATGTTTTAATTAGTGAAGATATCACTTGATGGCATGTCCCAGTCATGGCACTTTGTTTATCTACAGCTGGTTCAAACAAGTTCTGTCTATTTTTACAATAACCTGTTTCTTCTTGATCTGATTTTCTAACTTGTGTTTACCAGTGCTTTAGTTTTAGTCTCCAGAGATGGGAAAATCCATTAGTATCTAAAAGCTGTGAGTGCCCTCAGTTTGTATCAATCTTCGTGGAGGAAAAAATAAAAATAAGCAATTTAATTTGTCTGTCTGGAAAACCAGTATCCTTGATAAGCTTCTAAATATATTCTATTACCACACTGCAGAGAAAACTGAGGCTGAAGCAAGGCAAAGTGTAGAACAAGCAGAACCAGAGAGCATTAATTTCCAGAATTGCTACCTCACATTCTTTAGGACAGTGGAAATAAGATGATTCCTATTTGTGGTTTTAGCTCATTTTACCTAGGCTAAAGGTTATTTTATTTTGTGTGAACAGATACCAACTAAAATGAACTTGCATTATCTGAAAGCTCGGTAAAATGGCAATCTCAATTTTCAGAATCATACTTTTTATTCTACTCCCAAGATTTCTCTTCAGAAAAGCCATTAAACAGTAACAGTGAGATTACAAATTACTGGAATGATGCATGTGGGTTTTCTGCATAATGTGAATGCAAAATTCTTAATGCTTGATCAGATCCTTTTTGTACAATTTTTGCCTTCTCAGTGCAAGATGACCTGGCTGAAATGAAAAAATAATCAAAGAGCACTGTAAAACAAGATCAAAAAAGGCCTGTTTTAATGGCAGCAACACAACTGTTTGTTTATACTTTTATATCCTGCATGTCTCTATTTCCTCCTTCTGCAAGACCTTCCCGTAATATTAGCTTTTGTTGTGCCTCAAGACATTACAAATAAAACATATTGCAACTGGACATTATCTGAAGAAGCTACCCTCTGCCAAAGCAGATTCCTCAGAACATAAGTGAAATTATACCAAAATAGCTTAAGGGCAGAAAAGCAAGTAGGATGCTCAGTAAGGTATGAGGTAAGCACAGACAACGCAACTTCTGAGAGCTGTTATACAAGGATGAATCAATGATCAAAGAGGCATTTTCAAACCACCTGGAAGTATGATGTATCTAGCAAGTTTTGAACATGGACGTTCTTTGGTACGAAGCATTGGTCAAGTTTTGATTTTATTCCAGATGTTGAAGCAAAAGGTTATTATCAAACTCTATGGTTGAATGCAGTTAGATCAACTGGGGGCAAAAAGAAGAAAAAAAAAAAAAATCAGCACCAAAAACCAGTGATGCCAAACTTGAATTTCCATCAGAAAGGACTATACTGAAAACGAATCATTTTTGCAGCAGCAAGTACATGTACAGCGTTGATTCTTCTTACTTCCTTTCTGTATTCTTCAACAGAAATTCACTTTTGAATTTATTTACAACAGCTAAAGGAGTTTAATACACCAAATGAAAGACTATGAAGCATTCAAGACAGATTTTCTGACAAGCTTTCACAACATGGTATTTCAATTTAAAACCATTTTGGTTAATTGCTATTCTGCTGACATAGAAACTTTTACTTATTTAAAAAGCAGACACAACCAAGCCATGCACATTAAATCTTACCACATGCTGAACAGCTGTATGGTCTCTCTCCAGTATGCCTAATTCTGTGCTTTACTAATTTTCGTTGCATGTTGAATGACTTCCCACATTCATCACAGGTGAACACTTTATCTGCTGTATGAGTCTTTTTGTGCTCCTTTAAATTACTGAAGTTACTGAATCCTACAAAAATACAACAGAAACTGAAGATTAAAATGACTCCTCACATTTCAAACAAAAATCCTCAGAGGCAGAAACCTTGGTTCTTACATACCTCTGCCACAGATATCACACAGATGAGGCTTTTCTCCAGAATGAATAATAATATGACGCTGGACATCACCAGAAGCAGCAAATCTGTAACAGAATATGGAAACCCAATTACAGTCTTAGTGAGACCCTTATTCTCCTATAGCGATTATCTTGTGGAAAACAACTATAATGAATGCCTGATGTTATGAACAAAGATTAAGATCCACAGATAAAAGGATGCATTTAAGAAAAAAAACTTTAAGCTGGTAATGTCCAATTAAATTTATGCTAGGGAAAAAAACAACCAACCAAATAACCCTTTTCACTATTAATTTTACTAATTTATTCTGCATTTAATGCTACTCCTACATTAGTATATTTTCTATCCCCTGTAAGCCAAAGACAGAAACATTTAATGCTTTGCTTAAATTTATCAAGTTTTCCATACGTCATAGTTTCCATAAAATGTAACAAAAATTCTATGACCAAATAACAGAAAGGTACAAACCCACATGATTGTCACTCACACTATTCAAAATACACACAATATGCCCTTAACTAAAGACACCAATACACAAGAAATTCAGTAAAGACCACAGGCTATATATATGGTGTCATGTTTACTTATTATTGAGACTTGCAACAAGACACTTGGAGACATTTATGTATTTTAATCCCATCAGTACTCATTTAAAGTCAAAGTCATTAAAACAAAATTGAACAGTGTGCTACTTCAGCTCTTGGCCCCTACTTTTACCATGTTAACTTTACTAAGATGCACAGTTCTACTCACCTTTTCCCACAGATTTCACAAATGTATGGCTTTTCACCAGAATGTCGACGCAAATGTGTCTGGAGATTACCTGCCTGAAGGGACAGTAATTTAAACATTTAAATTCAGCTAGCCTGGTGTTGTATACAGACAAAAAGATGATGGAAACTATGAGACTGCCTTTTTATTTCTAATTCTAAGGCAGCGACGACACAAAGCATGTATGAACTCAAGCATTCTTATCTAGTAAAGAAAGACTACCATATATTTCAAGATCAAATTGCTTATGTATGCAATTATACACTGACAAGAACAGAAAATAAGAAAAAAAGCCTGGAATCAAATGCTAAGGAAAATAAAAGCCCTATAGTTGAAACCAGATCCAATTATAAATAAAAATTACACTACATAGATTGCAGTGAAAACTTCCTACTAATGTAGCTCATGTTAGTCTTACTTTCCCTGTCATACAAATAAAATGTTGTTACATTAGGGCCTCTGAATTCACCTACTGGGAGGTTAAAAAGAAAAGAACAGGGTAAACATTTTTCAATCCACAAAATACTCCAAGCCAAGGGTTCCAAACCTACAAATATTTACTCATACCAAAAGAAAACAGAACAGGAAGTACTGAAATGAAAAAATGGGATTACTAAGAACTAATTTTTATTATGTATCTTTCCTCTCCCAGTCCTGCAACAATTACTGTCATCAGAGTTCATAATATACCAGAACTAGGGCACTGCAGACACAGACACAGAGAACAATACTAAAGGCATCACCGTTTGAACCCTGACAGAACTTTCTTTAACCCCTGTAATGTTTTTCAGACAACGGTATGACTGAACTGTTCCTCTCTCAGGCCAAACTTCGTAATACTGAACCCCAGTTAAAGAGAGACATCAGACACCTGTTTCTGAGGAAGGAAAATACTAACCACAGAACAATTTGTGCTTTGCAAAGACAAGGGATTTTACGCAGAGGTGCATTTGAGAGAAACGTAAGAAAGACAGAACCTTTACCTTTATCCACGTCACAAAACAAACCATATCACAGGCATTTGAAAGTTATTCTGGATAAAGACAGGGTGAATTTGAAGTGCAACAATTATTCTGAAATAGTTCTCAACAGGGATTTTTAGCCAGAATAAAAACATTTTACAGAGTAGCAAGTAGATCCATTTCTTTCTTACAATACTGTCACTTCCTCACAATGAGGACATTAACAAGTGCTCGGAAAAATCCTTTTACTAATACTTGCAGTACCACTGCTCACAAATTCGGAGACTAGAGAGAAATGCTAGGCTTGGTCCATTTGTAACTGGCATGCTTTTAAACTGAAGGAACTAATGCATGTAGTTGCCCATGATATCCTGGATCACCAGCCAGAGAAGCATCACATAGCAACGGCTCTGCAGCTGTAATGGAAGATGCTGGCTTGGAAATACAAAAGGAACTTTTTTGCCCAAAAGTCAAAGACATTTATGGATATTTGTTCCAGGCTATGAGTTCCTATGTCAATTTTCCCTACTTTTTTAATTTTCTGTTTCACATTCCAACACACAGAACATCAGTTACATTCAGCAGGAACAGACATACCATCAGGCACAACTGCACTGTCTCAAAGCACAGAACATGAAGGCTCAAATAAGAAAAGTATTACTATTTCTTTGCCTGCAAGCTGAGAAGATCAAGAACAAGATCAGAGATGGTCTTTTAAATAAAAAATAGACAGTAAATATCCTTGCATCTTACTTGCATGATTCAAACACATGTACGTTAGAAGCATTCAAGTTCTTTTTTATGACCAGAGAAAGAACTGCAGCACATAAGCTGAATGCTGTAGCTCTTATTCTGGAGTCGTAGGTACTGTCCATTGGTATTATCTACCTATATCTTTGGGCAAGTGAGGTAATGGGAAGGGGAGGGAAACTGTTTAAGAGTGTTTAATTAAAAGGTAGAAATTTCCAGTTTTACTGGGGTTTGTTTTTAATTGAAGAGGAGCAATGCATATTGCATGAGGAGTATGCCACGCTTTTTTTATTCCCTTTACCCACAGAAATGATACAGAACACCACTCCATTCACCAGAAGTACTTTTAATGGAATTCAGAAATACTCACTTTTTTCTTTTAATAACTAGAAGGTCAGCCATCAAAATGAATGAAAACGCACTTTCTTTACCAAATAAGCAGATCCAGTTTTGCTCAAAATGACTTCATAAGTATGGTGAAACAGTACTGTTCACTGGACACAGTGTTACGTTCATATTCAGTAACAGAGTGGAGGATGCAACTCCACCAGATCATGGGTCAAAGTTGTCCCAGTGGTGGACTACAAAACTGGAGCAAGAGAAGTGCAAACACTGGTGTGTGGGCAGACAAAGACCACATAATTCTAATTCTTAAAACAGGACCATCAAGAAAGACCAAAGTTATTCAATGGTAATTATTATTTAATCTCATTATAAAAATATGCATCTATTGTCACCTGTACTTAGGTACACATATCCAGCCAAGAAAACAGAAAAGAAATAGACATCTTGGAAACATAAGACAACTAGGCACCAAATCTGTAGAAATACAAGATCACTGTTGTAACCAGAACAAGAAGTAAGCATTGAAGGGCAAATTAAGACACAGATAACATTTGGGCCCTGTGTGCAAGTAGGGAACTTCACAAGACTTTTTTGTAAATCCTAGCTGAATTTTGTCACTTCAGACAGGCTGCTGTTCTTCACAGAAGCAACTAAATTATATGGATTTATATGGATATAAATGTGACTAAAAAAAAAAAAATCTGCTTAATAATTCACACCATTTAGGAAGAGGAAACTCTTGTGAATACATTACACAAAATTCTAACTTGTATTTTTTTCAGACACTGCAAAAATGTTATTAAAAACATATCCCTAAGCATAAGGCAAAAGAACAGTCTAAGACTGCTCTCTGCATTTTAAATATAGTTGTGGCTCTTTATAGTTAAATATTCATTTAAAGGTAAAATACATAACATCTACTGAGAGCAGACAGAATCAAAGGTACAAAATGTAACAAAAAAAAATCTAAAACATTTAACATGTTATTTTCAAATAAGACACTTTAATATTTTATCCCTAAAGTGAAGTCCATTTTTGAAGAAAAAATATCTATAAGCATAAACCCAAGTGTTTGAGAATCAACACACAGATGCATTTTATTTTCAAGTGTAAATACCATAATATAAAATATTCCCACCTGTGAGAAGTGTTTCCCACAAATGTTACATTCAAAAGGTTTCTCACCTAAAAGGAGAAGAAACAGAACATAGAACTTCTAATAGTTGCAATAGAATAGAAATGTTCTAAATTGACTTCCTTTTACAACATGTAATGTAAGAGCAAAAATATCCCCCAAGGAACACTTACCATATATTTAAGGGGAAATTCAAGGGGAAGTACAGTATATTAAGGGAAATTCAAGGGAAGAAGTACAAGGGAAAGTATTTGCTATTAAGCTTGTGAGGCAGATCTGCTCAGAAACAGAATTTATCTTTCAAAACAACTAGGTAGAGGAGTTTTGATATGAATGAAAATGTTTTGTATTCTTTTTACTTTTTCCCCCAAATGCAAGGGGTACCCAACATCCTGGAAGAACAGAATAGGTCATGAGGTCCCGCAACAACAACAAAAGCTATGGGAAGCGCACCAGTTTTCCCACTTGTCTACACAAAGGCTCACTCTTAAAAAGAAAGAGGAATGCAGAAATACTAATTTGGAAGGATTCCATTTCCTCTGTTCAACGTGTACCATACATGTCTGATAGCATGATAGCATGTAGCCATTCCTCACAGCAAGTATATATTTGCCTTCAAATTCTCATCCTATATAAGAGTATCTAATAATTAACCCAAGTATTTTGCTCTATAATTTTGAATTTATACTAGTAGTCTTGACACTCCAAAACCGCATGAGCAGCTTTAGTAAAAAATTAGCACTGCCCACTTTAGCTTTTGAAAATAACTCTATTCTCAATCCAGACTGTGACTACACAATACTTCAGCTGTCTGTCAGCTATCAGTTTAAGACAAGTATCTTTTTTTAATCACTTTTTTTCCTCTTCAGTAGTTCATAAGGGTAAGGTTTTCTCCCTGTTAGTTCTTGGTTCCCAGGTCTTTACGCATGTTGATAAAAATCTCTACGCATCTTCTAGAATTTTTAAAACAGTAACTCCTCAAATACCATTGAACTCAATAACAGAGACTTCTAAAGATATTTTCCATGAGTCTAACTATGTTAAAATGATAGATACAATATGGCCCACAGGTACAGGGAAGCAAAACTAGTGTAAACCCTTGTGATTTTGAGTGCAGGTATTCCCAGAAAGAAAAAGAAAGAGATCTTACACTGTGTTTTATCTTGGTGCTGAATCAAAAAACTGTCTACTCTTTAAATTATAGTTTTCCTGATTTTACAGAACACCTCCTGGCATTTGCAGCCAACTCTTCCAGCAAGTAGTCTGTACATCAATTTTCTTCCTTCATCCTTGGAAGTGTTATGAGCAATACATGCAATATCCAGGTGTTTTCCTTCCCTGCTGCCAAACACAGGTCATGTTCTTTCAACATATTTCAGGATCAAGGATTAAATGCAACTCTCAGATTTTAAAACACAGAGTAAACATACAGTTACATGGCTTCACAGATAGCAATCATGCAGTTAGTCTGACAACCTGAGGCTGCATCTACTTTTTCTACTTGATGAAGAATGGAAATCTTACAGCAAGTTCTGAGAAAGCTTTTATTCAATTAAAGAAAAAAATCTAAGAAACCAATAATTCAACTATAAAGAGCACTGAGGCTTGATTTCATTACGGCTCTAAATTTGCAAACCACTAAAAATTCTGGTACTGACAAACATAAATGAAATCAACAGGGAGCAAGATCTGTGGCAACTGGGAAGGCTTCTGACAAGTGTAAAAGCATCAAGGTAATTTGAAGTGGAGGACAAAACACACAAGTAGCAATTTCTGCAGAAATTACCTACACAAAAAAAACCCACACCCAAGTTCCTGTTGACACAAAGACTAGTATGGGAACAGAAACCCACTCTGAAACAACTAGAGAAGGAAGGAAGGAATGGGAAGCTCTAATTTCTCAAAACTAGTGTGTAGGCTGTGTGCAACCTCAATTCTGCACCTGTATAAAATGCCAAACCATCAGACATATCAAGCAGCCTACTCCAAGAATGAATTATAGCAAAACAAATACTAAATTGCTCCTAGTGGTGTAGCGTCCTTCAGGTAAAGTGTGGCTTCCTATAGCATATTTGTAAGAGCGCAGCTAGTGAGCTGAATTCTTCTCCCCCCATCACTGGTGAGACTGTATCTGGAGCCTTAAGATGAGAAGGCCAATAGGAAATCTTACTGGTCTCCACATGCAATGAGAAGACACATGTAACCAGGTTGTTCTTGAAGGCACATGGTGATAAGACAAGAGGCAACAGACACAACTTAGATGATGAAAAACTGCAATTATGTATAGGAAAAGAACTTTTTACCCCTGAGGGTGGTCAAACACTGGAACTGGTTGCTGCAGTGGTTGTGGAACCTCTCTGTTCCTAGAGATATCCAAAATTTGACTACACTACACAAGGTCATGAGCAAAACAACCCAATCTAATTTGACCCTCCTTGAGCAGAGAGTGACCTCCAGAGATCCATTCTAATCCAAATTGTTCTATGATTCTATGACCAGCATTAAATTACAAACCAACTAATCTTCTCAAAGACCATGGCTGGATCAACAGCAATAGAGAAAATTTGGGGAAAAGTAGTAACTGAACTACAATTAAGACAATGCTTAAACAAACATACAGGGGACTTGACTTTTGAACCCTTGGACTGTTTGTGTTTTTTATCTTCTGTTGCATCCTTCTTGCTGAAACTCCACAAGAAGAGATGAAGTACATAGTCACAGGATCAAAGCAGGTGTGTCAACTCCAGAGGAGAAAGGTATGAAGGCAGAAGCAGTGTTCCTGAAAAGTTCACAATGGTGAGGAGCAGAACCCTCTAAGGCACGGAATGCTGTCAACTTGCTCAAGTAAAGCTCAGAATAAAAAAGTTCTTTCCACAGGGTTAGGGTTTGGATTTTTTTTTTTTTGAGAGGATATTTCCTGAAACTTTTTTTTTAAAAAAAACACCAAACAAACAAAACCCAAATCCAAACAAAACAGAAAGAGAGAGGGAAAAAAACCCAACAACACAGGCAAAAAAAAAAAAACAACTGAAACCCCACAAAACCCTGGATGTTTCTGACAGGTAAGGACTGTATAAGACATACGCTTGCTTCCTTTTTTTCAGACAGGTCAATCTAATAAAAGACAAACTATAACAGTCAAGTCAAAATCAATCTTAAAGTCAATGCAATAAACTCTGTTTAGAGATTCCCTTAACTATCCACTAGCAATACAATTAGAACAGCTAGATAACCCAATACAATGACTTGTATTGAACACAATATGCCTGTCCTTCACTTAGAAACTCACCAATGTAACCATGATAGCCTGTAAATTCTTTAGTGGCTCCTAGTATGCAGAGAATTTCACATGTGCTTTTTCTTCACAAGCAGGCCACCACAGCACTTGTGCTGAAAGACTTGTCATTTCTAGGCTAAAAACTGGCTTACCACTGTGAAAAGTTGATTCTAGTAACTTGCCTCCCTTACCTCTCTGGCAAAGCCAGATTTGGAGGACTTTCAGTAAGCACTGTAATACTTAAATACTTGCTAACTCTTGCTTAGTCCTAGAAAATTAATGTTTTAAAATCAAATTGATTAGCCAGCAATTTGCTATGCTTTCTGAAGGGGCAAATGAATGGAAAGGTCTTTCAGCATACACTTACATTACTTAACTACCAGTATACTTAATACTAATGATACAGATGTGCCATATACCTTCAGCTACAGATCCTTCCTTTATTAACATCCTACTTACTATCCATTGCAATTTTCCAAATACTCTCTTTGCACTAGTTGGATATTGAAAAAAAATTAACATGACCCCAAAATAACAGGCAAGCAAACAGGCCTATCTAGTCATATTCCTGCATCAACTTTCCATCCATTTTTTATGAGCTCATTATTCGTTAAACTTACGCTCTTAAACTTTGTCAGTTTAACACTGAGAAGTTGTTAGAACATCATTAATGGCACATTAAGTAGCATTCAATCTGGAATTTTTTGAACACTATTGGAAGGACACAATGTATGAAAAGCAGCAAGGAATTCCTGAATCCAGTGTTTACTCAGACTAGTAGAGAAGGACCACCACAACAATTCTAGGATCACATTATTTTACACAATGTATAAAGCTAGTTCGTATCTGGCAGCACTGTCGAATGTGAAACAACATCTAGAGCTTAAGTAGAGTGGAAGCATGTGTAAATACACAGACCTCAAATAAGAATAAAGAAATTAATTGCAACACACATAAATAACCTTGCACAGCTACTGCAACCCTTTTCCTCTTTTTCCATTATCTACTCTTGTAAGCATTTGCTGGCCATGCTGTGTCAAAGTAAAAAAAAAAAAGTAATTTGTAAACCACTTGTATAGCCTATAGTCTAGGCTATAGTCTCTTCTATAACCCAGTGCTCCCCTGACCCTTAAAATACATTAAAAGGGGTAAACTACACTCTGAACCTCATGTTTTAAATGGTTTAACATGGTTTAACAGATTCAAAACCATACAATAATAAAGTCTATCACTCGAGCAGCACACTCTTAAAAACCCAAGTAGTTTAATGGGCAGAACTCACAAAACACAGATTTCTTCCAGTGATTTAGATGTCTAAGGAAGGGAAAATTCTAACAGGTTTCTCACAGTTGGGGTCTCTCTTTCACATAGATTCTCTAGCACAAACTTACTTGTTACTGACTTCAGAGCCTCTCCCTCAGGTGGGACTTCTCTAGATGCTCGATCTTCTACCTGATCACCTATTTTCCTGACATTTTTAAGATATTAAAATATACCTTATGTCAGCTCAAATCTGATAAAAGATTAAAAAAATACAAGGCAAAGAGAGGATCTAGGTAAGACACATATGCAACTCTTTCACAGCAGATCAAATTAAAAATAATAAAATAGTATTAGCAATGTGAACATACAGAAGCAGTCAAAGGCACCAAGTGAAAACTTCAGGGAACTAATGCAAAATGTTCCTATTTTCAGGTTCTGGAGAGATTTTTCTCCTAATAAAATGGAAAAATAAATTCTTAATACTAAGGATTGATTAATCAAAGAAAATAGTGTCTGCCAAGAGGGACTCATACTTACTTTTAAAGTACCAATGCAAAGGGATATTTGATAAGACAGAGGGACGTGTTTGCATATTTAATACAAGGAAAAAGAAAGGCAAAAAACATTCAACAAATTAATCAGCTATCTCAAGGACTTGGAATCAACAGTGTCACAAGCTAAGGTAATTCTTAAACATCTAAAACGCATATCTAAAGTTGTAGAAATAGAATGCACGGAACAGACAAATTAGTTACTTCCACGTTAAACTAAGTCTTTTCACTAAAATAAAAAGATCCTTAAAAATAAATCTATGCTAGGTTTAAAAATAATACTACCTGTGAATTTTTAAGACAAAGTAAATTAATTCAAAATTCCCATTCACTCTGCAGCCTACTTATCCGTAAGAGCATTATGTCCTGGGTAAATACAATGAAAGTTATTCATACTAGGAAAAAAGTATAAAATTATTACAGAGCTTATTTCTACAGGTTAAAAGAAATGACCATCAAGCCCTAATCACTTGTATCTTACAGCAAATATATGATTAGAGAGGTCATCTAGAACACTTCTTGTATTATCTCCTATCCACTTATCACTGTTATGTGACTCAAACTTCTGGGCCATCTGACAAACTGATTAGAAATGCCTCTTCTAATTGCAAGACAAAAATAAAGTTTTTGTTGAAATATCACACAACATACTTTGAAAAAGAACACTAAAAAAAAGTCTTTCAGACTTTATTCCTATATGATTAATCATTTTTTAAAAGACTCCCATTTTGAAAGTTAACCCTTCACCAGCATCTCTGAATCAACAGATACTGCAAGACAACCTCTTTAACTGAAATATTTGCTCTGCAGACCAAGTTATTGATAACTGTACCTGTATGAGACCTTTTATGGAGCTCCAAATTGCTTGGGTGTTTGAAAGACTTCCCACATAATTCACAAGTATATTGCCTTTGTGACTGAAGAGTCTGTGATTGTCCTTCTTGTTCCAAATGACCTTGAGATCTTTCAGCTTCAACAGTTTGGTCAAAATTCTCAGAACTTACTAAATCTTCAGCTTCTTTTTCACCAGTAACTCTTATACTCGTCATGTCCATGGTACTTTCATTTACAGATTCAATTACTCCTGTTACTCTGCTGTCATCTCTTTTAGGCTCAGGCGGCTGCTCTGCAGATTTCTGAGACCTTAGAAAATTTAACTTTTTGAGGTGTATTGCCTTTTTCAACTGCATCTGTTTGGTGGGCTGCACAAGTGTGCTTTCTGCAGCTTGCTCTGGAACAGCTTCATTCAAGGACTGAGCCAGAAAGTTTGATGGTAAATGATCTGAGGTCTCCAGAATACACTCAGAGTGGTTGACAGTACAAGAACTATTCTCTACTGTGTTTATTTCTGTAGATGGGTTGTAAGAAAAGGGTTGTTCTGCTCCTCTCTCATGATTAGAGGAAGCATTTTGCTTATAGAACTGTTTACTGTAAAAGTCGCGTAGTTTATAATAGTAATTTGGTTGTTTAAATGGAAGCTCTGTGCAGTTGCCATCTAAGGAGTCTTGTGGTTGTTTCTGTCCATCACCTGAGGGTGCTTGAAGATTAACAGACTGTGGTGTTTGTGAACGGTGGTCAGTCAAGACTTTATTAGCTTGTGTGTCAGATGAGCATTCATGTAATAAGTTTGTTCCATAACTGTCACTGGCACAGCTAGTATCTGCAGTCAAAGTATTCTGCAGTGAAAATACACTATTACAAGGCATGCTAGCTGTCTGCTCTAAAGCTGTAGATGATTTTAAAAAGGCGTGGCAAATGTTCAGTACATTCTGCACTTGGAGACACTGTGCAATATCCAACATAGCTTGTACGTTGTCCTGGCTAAGGTCCAGGTGAGAGGTGTACATGAAGTCTAAAATCTGGCCTATGCCACCTACATTTTTAATGTTCAAGTGAAAGACATCATTCTTCTGGCCTGAAGAATTCTGGAAAAGGGTCCTGATAAAATAATGCAAATATTCAATCGCAAACACAAATAATTCACAAACGCTTTTTATAAAAAACACACATATACCTCAGATTGCCTGGCATGAAACAACAATTTACTCTGTATGGTCTTATCCACATTGTTGTGTTTTTGCAGATAAACATCTCAAAACTGTTCAATATATTAGTCCTACACAAGTACAATAGTATTTATCGAAGCAAGGGATCCTTTATGTAACTTTAATTTTCCATTTTTTAATGTCTCAAAATCAGACCCTATACAAGTGGTTTCCTATTCAATGTTCTTTACGTACTAGGTACAGGGGTGTATTTATGGACTATTTGCAAAAGTTGGTTGACTCAGAATGGTGTTTCTCCTTCCATCACAGCAAATGAAAAGGGACATGAAAAACTTTCTAGTAAAAAGCAGAAGACAGACCTCAAATTTAGCTTAATTATTCTCTTCTGGTAACTGAGCTTGTCCATTGAACTTTACCAGTAAATCTTGTTAAATTCTTCTTTCTCCACAAGAAGATGAGAGAATAGTAAGTAAGAGAATGTCATTATTTTCAGTCTGCTCTCTCTCATGCAAAGAATACACTTTTTTACTGGTACTGGATGAGAACCAAGTAAAAGAATAATAAAGAGTACAGGTACATTAGCCTGTAACAGCCATCCAACCAATACCCACAGAACTGCCATTGAATCTAGTGTCTGAATTCACAAGACCTTTCACTGTTTGATGTAAACTATTCTTGGGACAAGAGCCGTAGTTCTTCATATGCATAACCAGTCCTACATTAAGCAGGTTCGTGCTCTGCCTCAGGAACTTCACACCCTTCCATTAAAACCCTCAGTCTCCAACCTGACACTCTCACAGTAAATAATGATATCTATAAATATATGGGGTCAGGTCACTCTTATGTAGTTATTTTCCTACACTAGGAAATGCCCTGAACCTGATGATTACTCTCAAATTAGGTTTTATTTAAAGGTGAGCACAGTATCAATGAGCTTTGACTCTTAAGAAAATAAGAGGCTTCAACTCAGAGGCTTAAACTAGGCTTAAACTTTAGAAATGCAGAGGCTACTCTGAAGCCAATGCCCACATTCAAATTCTTTCATAATCCAGCCCACATTAGCTAAATTAAAACCAGAGCTATAATGAACTGGGACCAAGATCTGGGTAGAGAATTTAAATTAATCAGTCACTTATATCCTGTTGAATTTTCATAATAATCGTGGGTTTAGTTCTTTTTAACTACTTTCAAAATTCAGTCTTTAAGCATAATTTCACATCATCAGGATTACAACACTAGAAGAGAAAAAGGAAAAACAACCTTTTTTCCCTGGTCATAACATAGAAATAATTTTCTTATGTAAGAACTGGTAGTCAAGCTTTAGAGACGTTTCAAGAAACAATGTCTAAAAACTGCCAGATCTAATAGGTTACTAATAGCTAACATAAAACACTAACTTTGGAGATCCAGCATTCCTCACAATTTGGAGGATCAATGAGGGCTATATAGAGGTGAAAGAAATCAGTGATATGGCTTCATAGCCCACCTTTAACACACAAATGTTGTCTCTGAGAATCTGTTCTAAACAGAAATTCAATAACAACCTGTATAGTCAAATTTGATGAAACAATTCACATTATCTATAAACAGAGAACGTGAATTGTTTCCTCAGTTACATTCCTCATCTGGCTCTGTTCATGTACTCTACTATGCTCCTTGTAAACAGTTATTTTTTTCATACTGAAATATCGAATACCAGAGTCCATTATATGAGGCACCATAAGTAAGGATCAGGAAAATGCCAAACTAAACCAGGGCAGCAGTTAGCTATGTATGCCTAGAAAATAAATTATGATGGCCACAGCTTTTAATTAGATTTAATACAAATGTATCTATGGGCAAAAAAAAAAATATCTTTCCCCTTATACTCCAACAGTTCCTTAGTCTGCAACTACCACAAAAAAATACCCTTCTCAGAGAAAAACTCAACCAACAGCATTTAAGTTCACTTTTTGAAACGAAGCATTTTCTGTCACATACCTGAAATATTGACTGAAAGCAGCTAATACATTTTTGTGTGCTTTGAAGCAGACACCTTTCACCACCAGCATGCAGTCACAGAGAAGACCCTGAATGCGCTGTTCATGTAGCTGCTGGAGAAGATGACAACTATGGCTAGCAACAGTGTCCATGCTAGAAAATCACTTAAATTACCTACAATGAAATAAAATGCTAAGATGAATCTTAAATATTGAATTGCAAAAATTAACTTAGAAAATCAAGAACATTTTTACAATTTGTTTAGGTCCCCAAGGAAACAGACTTCAGTTTACACCTGCATTGTGAGCTCTAATGGCATTTCTCTGATTAAAGATGAGCCACAAGTATGCTCATCAGTAGATATGCAGACATACAGGTAGGAAATATTGATTTTAATTAAGATTTTCTTGCAACAAACACCTTCTGCCAAAACATGCTAAAGGGACTGCCAATAAACTGAACTCTATAACAATAAAAAACCTCAATTTAGACAACTTCTGACAAGAATTAGATTCTAAGGCAAAACCGTATCATACCTACAAAACCAATAGCATTTGTAGAAGAAAACCTGCATCTACACCCTCTAAACTAAAAGGAAGAGCACTGTAGTAGCATTATTTATTCCCAATTTGTTGTTGTTGTAGGGAAGCACATTTCCCACATGAATCTCATTCATTAGACAAGTTAGCATGGCAACTTTTTGTTATTTTTAATACAATGTGATATCTCTTTTAAAAGTCACCTCTTCGAACAGGCTGAAGGGAAGACAAGTAACATTCCCACAAAACACATTTCCATTCAATCCTTTTTTTAAAAAAAGGATTAAACTCTTCCCCTGCACACTTATAAATATGAAAGGCACATTCCAACTATTAGAACAATTAGAACTGATAACAGCCTTTTAACTAATGAATGAAGCAGAAAAAGCACGTTGGATTAAACATGACAAGAAAGTGGTTGCCCTCGTTTCCAATTCTCAGGAGTGCTAAGGGCTCCACATTTACTGTGTTATTCCGTGATTCACTTCCTCCTGCCGCATTAAAGTGGGCTATTACAGTCTAGTTCTTACTATTCTTGTCATATCTTTATTTTTATATATAAAGCATTACCACGCTTTAAAATAAAGCGAGCACGTCTGTTTCCCAGATAACAGCTTTCACAGCATCTTACAGCACCCCTGAATTCAGACTCTCCCACCAGAGAAGGTGGCCGCCGTGAGCCGCTTCCGAGCAAGCGGAGCCCCAGCAGCATACCCGCTATTTACGCTGAAGCTGCCGTGCCTGACTCAAGGCCCCGCACGGAGCAGGGCACAGCGGGAGCGTCTGCTTCAGAGGACAAGATCGAGCACCGAGGGAAGAGCGAGCTCTGCCCGGGGTCAGGCGACAAGCCGGCACCGCGGCCAAGCAAAGGACACCGCAGGCGGGGTGGGTAACGGGTTCCGAGGAGGACAGGGCTGAGGGCGGGCAGAGCGCTACCCACCGCGGCGGGGGTAACGCGGCCCGGCCTGGCAGAGGAGCGGAGGGGAAGGAACCGGCCCTGCTCAGCCCCGCACTTACCGGCTTCGGCCGTCTCCCAGCTCCATCCCCGCTCAACCGCCCGGCGGCAGCTTCAGCCACACCTCCCGCCGCTTCCGCTGCCGCTCCTTCCGCTTCCGCTGCGGGGTGAGGGCCGCGCAGGCGCAGGGCGGTGGCTTCACGTGCCGTTGCGGGGACTGTTGGTAGGTGGGGGTTGAGGTGCGGAGCGGGGGCGGGCAGTGAGTGCGGGGAGCGGGAGCGAGGGCAGGGCAGGGCTGCCGAGGGCCTTCCTTCTGTCCCTCCCGCCCCAGGTGGCTGGGCCCCCATCAGGCGGCTCCCGCGTGCCGGTGCCGCTCGCCCGCACCCGGTGGAGACGGGTGGGCTGCAGGGAGCGGGACGGAAGGGCGGGGTGGTCGCACCGGGAAGCGGAGGGGAACCGTGAACTTGAGAAACGCACCGGCATGGGGTAGGGGGAATAGGGGAGTACTGGTTTCAGGGTTACTGGTTTCCCTTGTGCACAGGTACCAGGCGAAATTCTGCACATGCAAAATCAAACTGCTTAGGTTTTCTGCGGGAGGATGCACAGCTGCATTCATTTTCAGTCGTTCGAGTGCATCTTTCAAGCTGTAAACCTAAGATCTCCTCCTCGTATTTCTAGGACTCTGCTTGTGTGGGAGGAAACAGATTGTACACAGTTCATAGAAGCTGCTGACCACTCGCCAGCATGGTGGTTTTCACATGCAATGCATGTGGAGAGTCTCTGAAGAAAGCACAGGTTGAAAAACATGTGAACATCTGCAGGAACTGTCAGTGCCTTTCTTGCATGGATTGTGGCAAGGATTTCTGGTAGGTAGAGTATCGTATGCTCACTCAGCAGTGCTTGTCGCCAATGTAAGACTTTCCTACAACATATTAAAATCAGGCAATTTCTGAATAATGTGTATTTGTATTTGAAAATTATTTATAAATTTATTTATAAATTGTATAACTTCAAGCTTAGTCACTCAAGTTTGAACCACCAGGACAACTAAACCCCGCAGTAAACAGGTGCAGTATTTTATGGTTTCAAGTGGCAGCGGTTTCAGCTTGTGATCACCCACAACTGCTACTATTCAGTTATTGCAGAGAGAGTGAGATTGGCAATAACACTGAAAATTCTGAATTGGGTTGTCACTTCTCAGAACTCAGAAGCAAGCAGTGCCACTGTCTGCTTTCTAAATATAAATATATGAATATGCATAAGAAAATAATGTCCTCAAATAATTATTATGTTTTTCAGTACTTTACTGACAAAGATTAAGTTCTATGTTATTCATTGCTTTGGGCAACATTTACACATTGGTCAGAGCTACAATACCACATTAGTATATCTATATTTAGGAATTAGGTTTTTGCAAACATTTTCACCTGCTTTTCTATTGTTAAATGGTGTCAATATGAGTAGTAAAACACAGATAAATGTATTAATAGCCATGTATATGTTACATATACAAATGTGCCTAAGTTAGAGAGTCATTAAGAAAAGCAGCACTATACTGAAGAGTCCTCTGGTTTTGCAAGTCAGAAATTTTCACTGAAGGCTGTAGCATGGCAGAAATGTCAGCAGTCTTACAAGCATATACTTTACTCATATAAGCGTTGATAGTATTAGGATTTAAATGATAGGTGCTATCTTTTACTTCCATTTGTTGGGTTTGTAAGTCTTGTGTGGTTCAAAGGACTCCAGTGAATTACAGTTAAAAATCTCCTTTGTTCAGGGGTGACGATTATAAAGAGCATGTGAAGTGTGTAAGTGAAGACCAGAAATATGGTGGAAAAGATTTTGAAGCCAAAACTAACAAAGGAGATGCTAAACAACAGGAGTGGATTCAGGTAAGATTTGTACTATATATAGATATGATAAATGGCTGTTGTTTATAATTGTTAAAGATGCAGCAGAGGCTATATTTGATCAAACTGAGGATCTGTTTTCCTAGTATCCACAGCTTGCTTTGGCAGTTTCTTAGTAGGTCTGTTGCTTATCCTGGTAAGAAATGCACCTTTTGTTTATTTTGAATTTATGTCTTACTAGTTTGATAAGGCATATGAATAATACCACTGAAGTCAACAGATCAGTGCCATTGTTGAGATGGAACATTCTTTAAGTACACTGTTCAGAGGCAGTGTGATGTGAGTGCTGCTGCTTATGAAAATTGTTAGCTTTCCTCAACAGTAAGTCTCTTCTACACAGAAAGGTGAGGGATAATTACAGCACGCCCTTTCCTCGTAGTCTTAAGACATCCACAAAGCCTTTTAGAAAACAGATTTTCAGAAGTACAGGCAGGCTTTCCGGTGTCCAGTATCTTTAAATAATGGGAAGCAGGGCAGCAGTGCTGTTCAAGTAAGTGCCACAAGGTCCTGGCCTGACCTCCTCTGTTCTCCTGTGCTGAGATGTGCTGTGGTATAGAATAACCCTTTGGCTAGTTTGGGTCAGGTGTCCTGTCTCTACTCCCTCCTAGCTTCTTGCGCCCCTCCTCACTGGCAGAGCATGAGAGACTGAAAAGTTCTTGATCAGGGTAGGCATTACTTAACAACAGCTAAAACACTGGTGTGTTATCAGCATTATTCTCAGACTAAAACCAAAACACAGCACTGCACCAGCTACTAGGAAGAAAATTAACTGATAGAGCTGAAACCAGGACACATACCTTGCAGGTATCACTTGATCTTTGTGCTTCTTTGCTGATTTAGTTCTGTTTTTCTTCATTCAGAAAATTCATGAAGTAATAAAGAAGCCAAACATAAGCCCCAAAGTGCGGAACATTCTGGAGCAAATGCGTGGCTTTGATAACATTCCAAGAAAAAAAGTAAAGTTTCAGGTATGTTTTAATAGAGGTTTGTTGTAGTGAGAGCCACTCTCTTTTAATAAAGGTGGGAGAAATTGCTTTTTTGGGCATTAGTAAATAGGTGCTGTAATAGTGGAGTTTCAAATATCGTAGTGTTTGTAAAATATATATCCTTGCTCAAAAAGAATCTGTGTCATTTTAATTCGGTAGCAAGCCAGAGACTTACCATTCAAGCTTAATCTCCATACATAGGCTTGTTCCTTTTTTGATACCTTTCCTTTTTTTATATATATATTTGCAATTTCCTTTTTTATATATTTGCAATTTTTAATGAGTGTTCAAGTTCTTAGACATACTCATAAGGGATTCTTATTTCTATGCTTTTGGTTTTTTTCCTGGTAGAGGCAAGATACTGAGAGTTTTCCTGGGGCTCAGATTCTAACAGAATCCCCCACATTGCATGCTGCACTAAACTTTGCATCACAGCCAAAGCAAGTTCCAAACGTTTCATGTGGTATCAGTAAAGAATTACTGACAAGCTGGCCTTATTTATTTATTTTATTTTCCTCTCTGTTGTGAGGAGATTGTGAGGCTGAGAGAGATCATGATTTTTTCCAAAGCACTCGGATAGAACTTAGTAGAGCTGCAGTGAAATTGCTGCTAGCAAGCTGAAGGTTAGAATGCTTTTCTACAAAATCAGTATTCTAAGTAGGGAAAATGATACTGTCAAGAAGCCTCTTGCTTTTTGGTAAGATCTGCAGCAGAAGATTAAAAGTTTTTGCAGTTCATTGTAGAAATTTACTGCTTTGTTTTTATTTTCAGCAGGAATTCCTGCAATAGCCCTAAAAACTTTCAGATGTTTGCATTGAGATATTTGCTTAAGTTTTACTTCTCTGTAATAAACTAAGCTATCCATTTAGGAGCATGGCTATCTGTCTAGTACACAAATAAGTAAGATCAGATCCTAATGTTTTACCTCATGGAAAGAGTCAGAAGGTTTGGCAGGACATTAACACAACCAGCTATATTCAAAAGCTTGAAGATTATCTTTTCTACATATTTAGCTCTTCTGGATTACTATTAGTAAGGCAATTGAGAGGCTCTTATATTGGTATATCCTTGTAACAGTACACAGGCATTATGAGATTTAAGAGATTCATAAAGTAAATGTATCAGAGATGCATGTTTTTGGTTATTGTTGGGTTTTTTTCTGGCACAGAATTGGATGAAGAACAGTTTGAGAATTACTGACATCACCTTGCAAGACCAGGTGTGGGATATTTTCTCTGAAGCAACCAGAAACGTAAGTTAGAGGTACAACTTACAACTTTTGAATGCGGTCAAAAATGCTGGAAGGAAAACCTTTCAGCCTCCTTTTGTAGATGTTAGCATAAATACTGTTTCCCATTGTTACGATGGATTATGTTATAATGTTATATTCCTAGACTAATTCCCTTGCTAATTTGTGGAACATACTGTTGCTGAAGTAGTTGTGTGTACTAAATAGGTTGTGATTAAAAACTTGGACATATTAATTCTACAAGAAAACTAGTATAAGACCAGGAACATTAAAAGAAACCAAATATGTTAAGGTGAAAAAAGTACAATTAAAACAACCAGCAGTGCCTTTGTTGACATCTTGCAGTAAATAGTTCATTGTCCCAGCCAAAACCCAAGTCAGGAAACTGGATGGCAAAGCTAAGATTATTACTCAAGGGCCATGTATTTGGGAATAGGTTCTGTATACTGCTGTAATAGACCATGTTTTTGTCTGAATTAAAAAGTCCCAAATACATAGAAAATTATTTCAAACAGAAATTATATATGTTGTAAGTTAATATTTCTTCTGTGATGCTAAGGTAATTAGCATTTAGGGTGAAAAGAAAAATCAGCCACCCCATTTAGTGCTGTTTCTCAGGTAACTGGTGTTACCGCTTGCAAGCAATTTAATTGACTCCAGAATATTAGTGTTATTCATTAATAGAGAAAATGTTCTTTATGTAGTAAAGTTGCAATGTCAAAAAGGCATGTAAAAATTGTAATAATCTGTCTTTCAACAGAAGATTTCAAGTGAAAAAGAAAAAGGCAAACCACAGCAGAAGGAAGAGGTGTATTCTGCAGAAACTGGG